AGGACGTGTTTAGCGGCCTTGAGGTGTTGCTCGGTAGGGCAAGCAGAAAATTGTGAGAGGAAAGAAATTGTGTACGCTAGATCGGGTCTTGTACCAGTAGCGAGATACATGAGTGATCCTATCCTCGATTGGTAAATGGAGGGGTCTGGAATGCGTGTGTCTTTAGTCCCTGTCGTAAGTTGAATGCCTTTTGGTAAGGGGGTAGAAATGCTATTAGAGTTTTCCATTGAGAATCATTTGAGGACTGACTTGATGTATTGCTCTTGGGTAAGATGTAGCCCGTCTGGTGCGTATGTGATGTGCAAGCCGAGTAGGAATCTGGCTTCCCCTAGGTCTGTAATCTCGAATGCCGTTTTCAGGTCTTCTGTGAGAGATGTAGCTTCGGGGGTATCAGCTGAGTGGATAGCTATGTCGTCAACGTAAAATCAAAACGTAGATGTCGTGTTTATCGTGAACAAACATGCATGGGTCGAGGGATGATGTCGTAAATCCTCTGGAGGTCAAGAATCTGGTAAAGTGAGCATACCATTCATTTGCAGATTGCTTAAGTCCGTAGAAACATCGCTTAAGTTTCCATACTTTGCCTTCATCACCAAACCCAGGTAACGGTCACATGTAAACTTCTTCTTTCAATTCGCCATAGAGGAAAGGGGATTTAACATCGAATTGTCGCGGTCGCCATTTGTTTTTAGCATATATCGCAAGGAGGAAGCGGTGAGATTCGTAACGCATGACGGGAGCAAAGGTTTGTTCGAAGTCGAAGCCAGGGATTTCACCAAACCCCTGAGCGACAGATCTTGCTCGATACCTGTCTCGGGTGCCATCAGCGTTTCTTTTGACTCTGTAAACCCACTTACTTTCAATTATTTTCCGTGCAATCGGTGTATCGACAACATCAAAGGTTCCACTCTTCTCGAGAGCCAGAATTTCATAGTCCATAGCCGAGGTCCACTGGTCATGGTAGGGGCTGTTTATAGCATGGTAATAAGTAGTAGGGTCCTCGTCCTGCATTTCGGTAGCATTTCTGCCATATCGAATCGGTGGGTGTGAAACTCGTCCAGACCGAGTCCTGATTCCTTCTTCGGGTTCTGGTGGTTGATCCTGTTCATGGGCAGGTGGTTCCGGAGTTGGAGAAGGAGGTGCGGGATTCTCGTAGTCTTCTGGATGTTCTGGTAGTGGAGGTGGATGTACTTCGACATCTGGTAGTGGTAAGGGTTGGTTGTTATCTTCTATTTCTTGAGGCTTGTCATGAGGTTGCGCAGCTATCAAGAAAGAGGCAAGCGTCACGGTCGCAGAGGTCTCTGATATATGGGTTGGTTCTCTTGGATCCGATGGTCCAGTTGGGTCAAGCGGTATTATAGTCTTGGTTGTCCAATGGATTTGTCTTGTTTCGGAGATCCGATGTTGCGATGGTATATATATCCGGTATATTTTGTCGGAGGAGGTATAACCGACAAGATATCCTTCCAAGACCCGGGGCTGTAGCTTCGTTCCAGGTTTTCTTTTCTCCTCTGGTATATGGATGTAGCATTTGGTCCTGTATGTGGGCAAGTGGTTGATCAACGGCTTTGTTTTGTAGATAGCTTCATAGGGCGTTGAGTTTCCTATAGCTCGGTTAGGCAGTCTGTTCCTAAGGTAGACGGCGGTGGAGACTGCTTCGGCCCAAAGGCTAAGGGTAAGTCCAGACAACATAGAGCCTGTCGATGTGATAATGGTACGGTTGTACCGTTCGGAAACACCCTTAGA